AAAAACCAAAAACCAAAAGAAAGAAAACCCCAGCAAAACAAACCAACCAAACAAAAAGGCTATAATACCACAGGTTGCAGTTTCAATGTTTACAAGTAATGTTATCAAACTTACTGAAAGAGAAATGGTGTGCTCCCTTTGTGTTTATTTTTGTTGTCAGAGTATAACTGTGTGGTTTTTTTTGAGAAGCCAGACAGAAAGTAAAGAGGTACTTTTAGGTGAAAAGAACTGTTATGTCTACAGCATCTGACTTGCCAAGATTAGCTGCACATGGTTCTGATTTATGTCACAAGGAAAGGTGGTAACAGTTCAGATCACCAGGGCTTGTCTCCTGGAAGAATATCAGAATTAACCTCTGCCAAAAGCATACTACTGGAGTGAATTAGTTGGAGCCTGTGAAACCCATGGATCTTTCAAGATTAGAATGACATGAACAAAGCCCCTCGGTTTAATTTCCAAACATTAAATGAATTGTACTTGAAGCATGAAGATACCTATTTAGGTTTGAGTTGTTTTATCTGAAAACTCTGTTATAGTTTTTTCAGTTAGTATAAGTTGCCAAAAGAAAGGGATTTCTTTCTTTTTTAAATCTAACATTTAAATGTTTTATAAGATATCATATTTTAATGACAGTTACAAAGCATACTTCATTCCTGTAAGACATTCACCTCTTATTGGTTATACTTGCTAATTGTTCTTTTCTTGTAAGTCAAGTTTAGTATATTTAAACTGTTAAGCAATGGGAAGGAATTCCAGTGACACAAATCACTTACTGAATAGAGCTGTTTCATTTGCAGTAGTTTGTGTTCCTGCCTGTCGGTATCTTGGGGTCTTTCTTGCTGCAGCATTATTTATAAAATCAATAATACTAATTATGAAGAAGCAGAATATCAATTAACTGTGTGTTCTATTGAGGATAAAGGCTTACATTAAGACCGACTGTGCATGTGCTGTCTGTTCTGTTTGGGCACTGTTCAGGCTACAACTTTGGGCGCGATGCCAGCAATTCCTCTACAGGAGGCAGTGCAGAAGAAAAGGATCCAGTCAAAATGTGCCAACCACTGGTTCAGAGACTAGCATGCTGGATCATGTTATCCCATTCTGAAATGTCTCTTGTCATAAAAGTAGATTTCCTGTAAACTGAGGTGGTATTTATCCTTTTGCTATCCTTTGTCAGCTGGATGAGGGGAGATGGTAACTTCATTTGGCTCAAATGCTGTTTGCCTTAATTGACAGCGTTTATTTTGAGTAGTTCTAGTCAATGTAAGTGATTATATTGTTACATACACTGACTGTTGCATAATTGACAACTACATGTTAATTCTGTGTTACTGGAAATTCATTTTAACTATTTGAGTATAGTTAAGACTGTCCAAAGTAAAACCTCTTTCCCTTACTGTGGAACTGTTTCTCTTTGCAGCCTCTGTCTGGTACCTGTCACTCTCCTACTTTCCAATTGTTCGCAGGCTGTTGTAGATGTGCTGATTGATTTGCGGCATAAAACAACAAGGTAATGTGTAAATGTTAATAAACCAGTATTTTTTAAGAACACTTCCTTGTAGTGTTTCAACTATATTGAATATCTAGAATAGGGTTTTTCAACAGTGGCTTCTTTGGAAGAAGGGAAGTTGATAAAGGATCTTCAGTCGGTGCTCTGTTTCACTTTGCTAAGACAGGACCTTGAATTGTAACTCTTGAATTGTTAAAACTCTTTTCTAGTAAAGTAGAAATACTTTTCGACTAGTGAAATAGGAAGTTCAGCAATTTTACTTTATTAAACATATGTTGTTGGATTTTAATTTTTAAAATGCCAAGTAATTTGTAGAAAACGTTTGGAAGTTTAAACAGGTACTTCCTTCTTAGTATAAAATTAGTATAAAATTGTAGTTCTTAGTATAAAATTTCATAGAGCCTTGGGTATTTTTAAGACTTGCTCCAGGTTTAGCAGCAGATCCTTATGACTTCCTTTTTGCCTAGAAGTGTAGTATTATCTGTGAAAGAAAACATTAGCATTGAGGAAATGTTTGTGAATTGCTTCTAAAAAATTGGTTAAAGGTTTTTGTGGGAGAGAGAATTCATTACCATAATATACCATTGTAACATGCAATACACCACTGTAATTCTGCCACTTTTGTTAAAACAAGGCAACTTTAACCTGTGTAATTCAGGTGACAGCCTCCCTTCCTCCCTTTTGCCCCCTTAGACATAATACTACCTGGTCTGCTTCCTGCCAAGGGGGTGAGAAAGATTGTGAAGACATTGAGGTGGGCTTAGTCATGGGGGAACATTGGCTTGTTGCCAACAATCCATGCAGACAAGTAAGAAATGGAAAAACCCGGAGCCTGATACAGAGGTTCAGAAATGCAGAACAGAAGACTTATGTGTGATTTACTTTTCAGATATGATTAGGAACCTATTCACTGATCTGTTGTTTTTTCGCAAGATGGTCATGTTTTGTAACATTGTGAGACGTGTCACTGGAAGGACTGTGTACTCATGAACCTTGAAACTTCTTAAAAATAAAAAAATCCAACGCCCCCCCTCCCTGTTTATTAATGCAATGTCTCTAAAGCAGTGTATATCCATGTTGACTATTCCTTTGTGACAGTCTGATTTAACTCTAGGTCATGGGACAGGTCCAAAAGTGCCTTAAGCAGGAATTCCTTAAACTGTGGTAGTTTGGATCTTGTTACTACCATCTATTGTTAGTGTTACGTGCCAGTTATGTAGGAAACTGAGAATACACAGGAATCCATCACTATACATATATGTATAATTAATGTTGTATACAGTGTACAGCATATTAGGAAAAGAAATTTTCAGAAAGTATAAATAAGCATTTCTTTGTAAGGGGATGGTGATGGACACAATGCATCCTGAAATCTTGGGAAAAACTTGAGGTTGGAAGGAATCATGTAAATTGGTAATATACGCTTCAGATTCAGAGAGTAACATTTTTACTTTCTTTTTCAGCTCTGAAGCACTAGAAATACATGGATCTTTTACATGGCTTGGGCAAACACAGTACAAGCTTCAACTTAAAGGCCAGGAGGTCTATAGCTTGCAGCTGAAGGCTTGCTTTGTTCATACAGGTGTCTATAATCTTGGAACCCCCAGAGTATTTGCCAAGCTAGTGGACCAAGTTACTTTGTTTGAAACAAGTCAGCAGAACTCCATGCCTGCACTGATTATTATCAATAATATCTGACCACTTCCTGAGAAAAAACGCACTAAAAGATGAAATAAATGGGATTCTTTTCTTATATTGCTGGTTGACATTTTGCTGCAGTTTTTTTGAAATAGCACCTCAAACATCTAACTTGTTACTAAAGATCGTGTAGAAAAGAAAATAGCAAAATATTCAGATGACTTGTCAATTTGTTTCTCGATGCAATGCACGTTGGACTGAAAATACGTTTATCCTTTTATAATGTATTTCTTCTCTGGTAATTAAGATATTCATACCACGAAATACTCTAACTCCAGATCTGAACATACTTGTATGTCCAATGCCCTGTCAAAAATGCAGCTTGACTGCTGTTACAACTTCCAGCATGGTGTGTTTAATATTTGTGGCTGTATTAGGATATGGTTCAGGAAGAAAGCTTCACTGGCTTTTTCCTGTCTGAAGCCATTAGTCATGATAAATCCCAACCTTACTGTGAAGTTCAATAAGGTCTCTCAAATCCATTTCTGATTCTCGGTTCTTTAGTTTAAAATTTTGTTTTCATATTTATGGAAACTGGTGACCTTTCAAGGTTTACGTAAAAGTCCCACCTAAGGTGTTTAAAAAAATAATTTCTTGAACCAGTTTGAGTATTTTCTCATTCATCTCAACACAGAATGCACTATTTCACAACCATGAGATTGTCATTTAAATTGTCACTTACTTTATTATGTAACTATAACAACTGATCTGTTTTAAAAAAATCTACTCAAGATTTTCAAGAAATGTATTATATTTATAACAAATGTACTGTAAATAGAATAAAGCATACACCATATTCACTGTATAGATGAGTGGCCTTTTTGTTTTCCCTTGTATACAGCTATAACAATCCACGGGAGCTGATACCGTGTGTGTAGGTATATATTGTGTACTGTCTTTGTTGTGGCACCCTCTGCTCAGGTGAAATTCCCATCCTGTTGCCATGTGTAGCCTTAGTGTGTACCTTGAAGTGCCTTTGAAGTGTTCACTGAAGTCATTGTAGTGACTGCTTTTTCTCATTTGAATTCTTGTCCGGTGTTCCCAGGTACAACACAGAATTCAGCTCTCTGGGAAATCTCAATTACTCGCTCTGGGGAGGCAGATTTTTAATCTGGGTAACAGCTGCTGAGGGTGGGGAAGGCTGTGTGAGACAATCAAGTGCAGCAAACCCAGCTATGAGTTAGGAGTTAATGTTAGTGATGGGTTAGCTGAGTACAGGGAAAATGGATCACCTAATGACTTCTGATAGTCTGCTCTTTCTGTTGACTGAAGGAAATTTCACAGGGTGACACTGGTGTGTGAAGCAGTACATTACCTTCTGATGCATTTTATTCTTTTTAGCCAAGGCTTCCAATTTTACTCATTTTTGGTACTTCTGTATAACTGTCCCGTAAGGACTTAAGACTTCCTGAAAGTCTTGGAACCCATTTGCAGCACATGACCTTTCATAGTTGTACTTAATAGGACTGTGTATCATGTTGATGAACCAGTAGAATACTGATAGAATAGAATTCTCTTACAATCAATATGTTGCTTCAGGGGTTGAGTTCTTTTCTGCTGTTTGGGTAGATAGGAAGACTAATCTAAAAGATTCTCGGCACTGTAGCCTTAAGCTGTGTCATCAGTCCTCCTTCTGTGTCAACACCCATTTAGGGAAGAGATGTCATTAATGAAGCCATTCATCTGTAGGCCACAATGTTCTAAGTCATGGTTGGTGTATGTTTAAGACAGTCTGTCCAGGATGAAGAGGTACTTTGTGGAGGGAAGTAGGCTTGTCAGGTGGAGGCTGGAGATGGCCCAAATGGCAATGCACGGTGAGATCCGGCCATTGAACAGTGGCTGGCAGGTGAAGCAGGTGAGGATTTTCAAATCTCTCTGAATGCCAGAAAGATGAGATGATGCAGAGCAGAGCAGCTGCTGCAGGTTCTCAGTGCTCCAGGCCCAAATGCATGAGCTCTGATGCTCACCTGGCTGTCTGAGAAGTTAGTGATTCATCAGTCAAGCTGAGAGCCAGTGAGTGATGTGGGTGTTTATGGGGAGAGGAAGGCCCTTGTCAACCTGCTTTCATGGATCTCAAGTTTAACGGTGGAGCTTTCTCAGGGAATTGCTGTAGCAGTTCCTTGCTGGAGACATGCTCTTTGTCTCTTCTAGTGTCTCTTGAAAAATTTTAAGCGTGGATTTGGGTCATTCCTTGAAGCTCTGAAAAGCATTACAGAGTGATAAGAGGCATCTTCTGACTTGTTAGTGGTGGCAGAAAGTAGGGCTGTACTGTGGCTTCTTTGGACTACCCATTCATTTCAGAGTAGAGCAGAATTTTACTGTGTGATTGCTTAGGAGAGGAGCTAGCATGGAGATAGAACTAAACCTGGCTCCTGAATGGATTATCACATGGGAAACTCTTTGTTCACTCTGTGGACTCTCAGTGATGATGAAAAACAGTTCTATTGAAATGACAATCTTGTCTTGCTATTGAGCAAATAAGTAAATCTGCAAAGGCTGAAACTTCACTACTTGCAAAACGATACTCCAGAAGAATCTCATAAACTTGCTGTAAAATGCAAGACCATACTAGTGTATCTCTCACAGGAATGCTATGACTCCGAGTAGACCAAATGTAGTAGATCAAAGTAATATGATACTTTGAGATAGATAGAAAAAGCACTCAAAAATGCTAAGATCCAGGGGATCTTTGTTGTTTTAGGAATTTAATGAATTTTCATTTGGTACTACCTTTATAAGATAAAACCATGAAACTTGTCAAACTGGAGGTTTTGGTGAGGAAATAGAATGCCCTATTTCAATCTGGGCACAGTGGGAACAATTTGATCTTGTATTACATAAAATACAGAAATAATTCTTCACAGTAATAGACATGAAGTTACGCTTTTATCTGAGCTGCATCCCCAGCAAACTTGCGCCAGAAATGAGGTGAATTCTGCCATCCCTTTCATACTTCTTGGCACGTGTTACTCCATCCTGTGCTGGAGGAATTCTTGTGGTTTTAGGCTGCTTAGCCAAAAATTGCTGAAATACTGCATTGACAGTTTACTATTTTGTGCAATGCAAATCTGGAGTGATTTTACAGAGTCAGTCAAAGGCTGTGAGTGTTACAGGAGATGACTAATAATATAGCAAGATCTTATGCTTTTTCTCATCTCAAACTTTTTTCTCCTCAAAAATAGTAGAAATCATACTAAATAGGGTATTCTTGAATTGTGTACTTGTCCTGACCAGAACTTTATTCTAAAAAAATTTTAGAAGGACTGGTTATTCTGATAGAGCAGTTTTCTGAACTTGTTTCCTTGTCTTAAGTTGTATACTGAACTTTTCTATACTCCAAAATAGGAAACATAATCATAACTTTAAAATAAAAAATTACTTATAGCAGAAACTCATTTAATGTCTTTATCTGAAAATATATTATTTCAATCCTGTCTAAACATCAAGTAATGGAATAATGAGTTAACTAGCAATAAATACCTAAAAGTTTGTAGCAAAAGCGGTATCAATTGTTGTCTAAATTGTAAACAAAATGTCTGTTTCCTTACTCTTGTGGTTGGTGTAATTTTAATTGATTATTGCTGTCTTATTAGAAAAGTGTCTAGCAAATTACATAAAAAATCCATCCATACAATGGTTTAAGACAAGTATTATTCTCCTGATACTCAGCATGCATGAAAAGCTCTGCCCTCTGCAAGAGTTGGTTACAACTTCAAGTTTGGAAGTTTGGAGGTAATTGCTCTTTTTTACTCAGCTTGGCTTGATACTAATTAGTAAAAAAAAAAATCCTCTGAAGTCCCCTTAATTTAAAAATGGTTTCCTAAAATTTAAAAGCTGATGAGTTTCTGAAAGGATTCACTTATACTGGAAAGAGTGTTTCTACAGTGAAACAAGTGGCACTAGCCATGTAGGGTCAGGAAAAACTTAGCATGAAAGATGAGGGGAAAAAAAGTAAAATGATTGTTTTGATTTCAAAATAATAAAACATTACCCTTCTACTTAAAAAAGGAAGTTGAACTAGTTTCTCCATTGCATTTTTATGACAAGAAATTTTTCCTAAATGAAAGGGAATTTCTCTAGTTTTCCCAGAGACTTTCAAAAATTCCACTCAAAATAATTTAACCTTTTCATCTCATTTTTTTACAGTCATAAATGAGATAGGGAGTATCTTGTAAAAAAATCAAAAGTAAAATCATAAAGACTGTCAGTGTTGCCCCAAAACGTTGGTAGTTTCTGGGAAAAGCACCACAGACATATACTGAGAAGGTTATGGATAAATGGCAGTAGCTGTAAAATGTATCCACTATAATGGCTTTGATATAGACCATTACAGGGAGGGAAAATGAATTTATTTTTATCTCTATCAAGAACCTGATACTTGACTGGGGGTAGATTTTGCAACTCATAACATCATTTCAGTATCATTCCAAGACTCAGGTAAAAAATAGCAGCAGGAAAAATACTGTAGGGAGAACTCAGTTCTGTATTTGGAAACTTATCAATAGAAGTGTTGGAGATATATTTCTCTACCAGTGTGTCCATACACAGAAAGCCAAATAGTATTCTTTATTATCCTTCATGTCATAGGTCGTTGATAATTATTACTGACGCTTAGGATTCAATGCTTGAAGCTAACAAAGGAAATGAGCACCAATTCTGCGCCTCAAAACATCGGCTTTTCCCCAGTGATGATTATTTGTTCCTTGGTTAATACACTTACAAACTTTAGTCCTGGTTTTCTTTACTAAATACCTTTGGATTCCTCCTGGAGTTGCATATCTTCCTTCTGGACAGGGAAGGCCTCTAAACTACGTCTGTAAGTACAATTTCTTGATGTTTGGGAAAAGTTCTTATTGTTAGGAAGTGGTACTGTTTCTTGAAACATAAACTCAACCACCCTTTGATTTCATTTTTGGGATAGGGTTTTGCCAAGCTCAGTAGCAGAATAGAGAGGTTCAAAGTAACTGTCCTTTGACAGTCACTCACATCATGTGCTGCCCCAGAAGAAATGCGCAAGGTGCCAGTATAAAAATAGAAGAATCTCATGTTTGGATTCATTGACATAGTTCCTGTTCAGCAGAAATAATACTTGATACCCATTGCCTCTGTGGGTCCCACTGCATGGGTTGAATTTTGACCTGTTAACAAATTTCTTTCCTTGTGTAACACTGACACATATATGTATAGTATGTTTACTAAGATAAAAAGTATAATTACTTTAAGTAGTGTGAAAAAGTGTGTCAAAGTGCTAGAGTGGAAAATGCCTATGTGTTGGGGAGGAGGATAGTATATAAAAAGTTTAATGAAAGATAAAAAAAATCTACGGTTTTCATTATTTAAACCTGAGGATACAATAACTACATAATGTTAAGAAGCTTAGTAATATACCAAAGCTTCAGTAATATACCAAAGTTAAGTTTTCCCTGCACTGACTAAACCACAAAAATCAACATTTTTATTATTCCTCAGCTGTGAAGTGTGAGTAGAGCTGCCTTACTGAAAAGCAATCACCTGCAGTGAGACTGCCTGAAGGAGAATGGAATCGTGGTACAACAACAGCCACAGTCCGAATAATGAGGACAGAATTTTTAATTTTAAAGATCATCTTCTAATTCAGTACCTACTGTGAAATAGAACTATCTACACCAAAGTGTTGCCTAACCCAGGTGTATCAAAAGTCAGGTCTCTGAACTGCAGTGGATGTGGGAGAGACTCCTGGATGTTTTTTCACTTATTACACTCTTATTCCAGTGAGATAAGGGATTATTTCTGAGAATACTAAAATATAAAGATGTCTGCAGTAATAGAAATACACTGAAGGAAATTCAGCCTTTCTTCATATGCACATTGCCATTATTTCAGTCCCTTGAAATCTTAATGTTTGCTGTCTTTTCAAAATTACCCTTGATTAATGTCATGGAAAAAATTATTTCTATAGAGCAAAAGCTAGACTGGAACAGAAGATAATAATTTTCTCAACACTTCTGTTTTTAAAACCATGAATACTGATTAAACACAGTCTAGGACTGAGTGATTTCCTGATCCTATTTAACTCAAGATTTATTTACTGTGCATTTCTATCAGTTTACAGGAGTAAATCATTAATTTGTAAAATGTCACTTGGTTAATGAGTTCTGCTAATTGCTTTAGTGGTAGCTGAAGAAGTGAAAAATTAACAGTTTAAAAACTGTTGCTTACAGACTGCAGCAGTGAATAAATCAATTCAGCTGATGCTTGGAAGTGTTATTCCTTTGGGTTTTCCTTTCTGTACGTTAGAATAGATATGGTGTTCTCCTCCTGATAATTGTGGATCATTCCTTACCCTGTTTCCTCCAGGGTGATGAAAATTCTGCTAAAGAAAAGAGAAAAAGGATGTAACTATAGATTTTTACTTACTGACGGAAATAACTTAGTGATCATCTTCAAACAGCTGCCTCGTGATCCCCAGGTGTTTTGAAGCCCGAGGATGAAAGAGTTATTTCTGTATGTTGAGGATTTTGCAGAGAAAGTAACAACCATTTCTGACCAAGAAAATAAATATTTCCTGAAACTCACAGGCAAAATATTTCTTCCTATCCATTTGAAGACACCATCAGCAACATAACCAGCTTTCCCCCCTCCCCCGCCCCCACTGCAGATGCTGTTGTTGGGGACATGACAGAGGGAGAGACAAAAATGTGCTTGGGACATGGGCTCCACTTCTTGTAGTTGCTGATGCCAGGGTTGTGTTGGTGGCATATTGTATTAATTGCAGCTAAAGCCTAAGCTCTTGGATTCAGGAGATGCTTTGAAAATACCAGCTTTTTGTAGTATGCACTGCTGGCTCTCACTATGTCGGGGAAATACTTGAAGATG